ATTTCTTTTTTATTTATTTATTTTTTTTTGTAGTTCGTGAAAATCCGATCATTAGAACGAAAGTTATTCAGGGTGATTCGTTTTTTTTTGCGGACTGTACACACAAATATTGGGATATAATCTATGTTTGTCATAAAAATATGGAAACCTGCTATTAACCAAATCTTATGTTTACAACTAATTTCTGTAGACAATGATGCCTCAATGACCCTTATGTAATGCAACTTTTAACTTTTAGTATGGGAATTTGAAGATTTTTGTTTAGCATGTTAAGGCAGACGCATGCAAGTATTTACCGAAATTGAAAAAGCACACTTTTCTATTAAATAATTTAGATAAATATGTTTAATTTAATTAAAAATAAGTTGATACTGTTTATGAGATTTTCAGATTTCCAACCCTTGGAGAAAAGGAGAAAAAAAAATTCTGTCTGCATTGTAACCATTAGACCAAAAGAGAAAAAAGAAACAAAATTAAGTTTCTCTGAGCTAAAAAATTGTATTTATTGATAGATTCTCCTTAATTGTTTTAGAAAATATTCTAATACATGGATTATTCGATATTTCACTGTCCATAAACAATATTGGGAAACGCATGTTTTGTTGGATTCATACAAAAACTTGATCCTGCTTATTCTGGGTGCGGGAATATCAAATCTGAACTTAGTTTTGCTCCTCAAACTACAAATTTCTTTTTTAATGGAAAGACAATTTTAGTCTATTTTTGCTGAAATTTATAAGTGTAAAATAACTGGGGGACATGCACATGTGGTGACAAACTTCTAGGGAAGAAAGGACACATCATCAAGATTATAATTGAAAAGGAACCCATAGCCTGAAATACAATCGTACGCTGCTGGGATCGCTCACCTATTATGACCTTTTTAAAAGCACATGAAGAAATAATTGATAATAGGGAAACTGCCCTAGAAGTGTAAGACGACATTTCCATAAAAGTTTCTTGTAAAGTTTAAAGTTTATATAAAGTTTCTTGTGCAATTTCTGACGTTGTGTCCTAACAACTCCCCTAAATGTTTGTTCCAAAACTTTTAGGGGAGCCCTTGTTATATATATATATATAACTTGTAAATTTTGACTTGTACATTTTGTCATTTTATTAAACTGTAGCTAGCAGAGAGAAGCCAATTACAAATTTCAAATACAGTAACAAAGTATCTAAAATCTGTTAAAAAAACTCCTGTAACAGAGAAAAAAAATAGTGCTGTCCAGTGTAATCATTATATTTAAAGAATATTATTAAATACTATCAAAATGCATATTTACCACTATCCACATATAACTGATTTTGATTGTCTTCAAGTTTTTTAAAATATGGTAAAACCTCAGGATAGCTCCATCCTGTAGCACCTTGTCTTGCCCAATCATCATAATTTTTCTTATTTCCTCTGATTACAAGCAGACTATTCAACAAACTTGAACCACCCAAGCCTTTACCTTTCGGCCAGATTATTTGCTATTGTAAACAAAATATATTGCAACAATATCAATTAAGATTATAAAATAATTTTTTATAAGCAAGAGGAGACAGCATAGATATATAAAATTACTTTTTAAAATTGGTGCTTTACCTAACATATAAAATTGTGAAGTTAGTGTAAAACAACAAAAAGGGTTTCATATATCATTAAAAATGACTCTTTAACCATCAAAAGTGTAATTTTTTTTTACAGTTTCATGCACCTTCTAAAGGTAATAGGATAGAAAATATTTAATTACTTATTAAAGGACTTCGTATCAATAAATTGTGCAGATTGAGGATTATAAAATCACGGAAATAATCTGCCGTAAAATGCTAAAAAATTCCAAGAGTTTCTTTTTTAAATATAAATTTTGGATGCTACGAAATTCTGGATTTTAATGTTACGGTTTTATTACAGTCCAAATGTTTACTTATAGAATTAGATTTTAATTTGGTATCACCTTTAATATTCATCAAACACATGAAGTAGCTTCTGATTATTTTAATTTCAATTTTTCAGAGACTGACCTTTATAATGGTTCGAAAAAGTTAGGTAACTTCTTGTTTTTATCTTCTTCAAATTAATATTAATTAGTGCATAAGCTCTAACATATTTTCATTTTTAGAAAATGATAGGAAAGATTTATAATGCATGTAAGGATTACAAAAAATCCTGTATTTTGCATGGATAGGGAAAAAAAAACTAAACAGTTATAAAAATAATAGTTTATTGAAATATAATTATTTTAAAAATGCATAGGATGCGCGGGTTCAGGATATACGCCTTAAGGTTTTTTTAAACCTGATAATCTAGGATACCTGGGAAATGAATTTGCCTATTCTACTGCAAAATCCTCACACAATCTCTCTAACAGGCCAATTTTAAGACATGATGTTCGAAGTGAAATAATAGATGCTTTAAATACTAATTGGCACACAGAATGGAATATGGAAATAAATAATAAACTGCATGAAATAAAACCGCCAATTTCCCCTTATAAAACTCTTAATTGCTCCAGAAAAATTTATGTATTAATAAACAGATTACGTATAGGCCATACCAGACGAACACATCGACACCTTTTACTGAACCAACCAGCCTGTTTTCTCCAATTTCAGATAATCGTTAACAAATATAAAGCACATATTAACTTAGTATTCCAATTTTAAAGCTAAGAGACAACAATATTTTAACAGTGAATATCTTTAACTATCGATTTTAATTGGAGAAAACCCAGATAGAAACTTTCTTGAATATCTTAAGGACACTGGATGCTTCTGAAACATTTAAACGGACTGATAATTTTGACCAAGCGTTGAGCGAGGTATAGCCTTTTCTGGCTGTTGCACAATTATTAACAGTATAATTATTAAGATATTCAAAACATTGGGTGATAATACACATAGAATGCATAAACATTCTAAAACAGTTGTATTCAAAGTTTTTACTCTCACTGTAATTTTTACAATTGCAAACAACACTTAAAACGCCATTCGCAAATGTGGTAACCTTGTGCCACTTTGAATATTAAGTGACTTGCAACGTATCCAAGATATTGCAAATTTCTCTTGACCTTAACAGAAACTGATGCCTATTCACTCTCATCGATATCTGAAGTCATATCTTTAGGGAAAGGGTACAGTTTGCTGCAGTAATGAACAACAATGCACTACATTTTATCTTCATCATCAGTTTTGTCAATTTCATTTGTTACTCATTATTGGTTATTTATTATTTCATTTATTATTTAAACTTTGCCGTTGTTATTTTATCTTTACAGATTTCCCAATCATGATTACTATCCTAATCATTGATCAATACATAACAAAAAAATGGGCCAAAAGTCAGAATCCAAAGTGTTAAAACTTTGTTACAACTACATTAAAAATAAAACAAGCAATATTGAGGTCACCACATTTCATAAGTTAGATTAGCAGCTTATGTACTTATTGATTGATAATAACATCATAAATATGTACCCCAAATGATATTTGACAAAGTTAAGCACATGAAGTGAAAGAAACACAATCTTAAGACAATTTTTGATGGTCAACATTGATTACTAATAATAGAAAGGATATCTGTTTCAGAGTCTAATATTATACCTACGATTGGCAAAAAATAACGAAGTACTATTTTTGATCGTTATATCCTTAGAGGCTATTTAAGTTTAGTAAATGTATTGGTGAAAAAATAGCCCTTCATAGCAACAGTTGCAGTAAGCCGGATTAAACAGAAAATGATGAGAAAATTTCTTATTTTCTTAATCTCTTCAGTAGTATTTCGAGTAAAAGCAGGGATTAGCTGTTGATTTCGTTCAAAATTAAAAAACTTATAGGATATCTATGATAAAATTTTCCATTTTAAGTCTTTTGTTGCGAATGATATTTTATTCTTCACTAAGAATATTTAACGGCAAACCAAAACGTATATTTCTTTAGGAAATACGGTGCCTGGTTTTTACTATTTTAAGGCATTTAAGTATTTAAAAAAGCAGAAAGAAGGAAATAGTTCTTAAAATGTAATGAACTTCAAGAAGAATCTGAAGAAAAAAAAACTGACATAAACTCAACATTTTTTGAAAATTATCATCTGAAATTGTGTTTATTACTCTTACAAACTTACCCTGTTTTTTAAAGACGTGCCAGTGTGTTTCTGGGGTGTAGTTTTATAAGCCCAATCGAGATCAGAGTTCCAAAAAGTATTTCCAAATGCAGGAACATCATTAAGAAGTGGGGGTTTGCCTCCTGCTTCTAATAATAGCACGTTCACACATGATATTTCTGATAAACGACTGGCAACAGTAGCTCCAGCTGAGCCAGCTCCCACTAGATATAAAAACAGCATAAATAAGTGCAAAAACTTTTTTTCTCTGAATGAACACGCTTTTTTTCTAACCATTTATACCTTTTCATAACAGTATAAAAAATCCGGATTTGTAAGGTACACAATTTTTTACGTCATTTTAAAGTATTGTGGAGGTTGGTATATTTGGTAACTCTGGGAAGAATCTGACTCCAACTCTAGTATAAATTTCCACGTGAAAGTGTTCATGAAAAAACACTACAGGTTCATGTCGTGTCACTCCATAAACAACACTCCCAGTTGAAATGAACAACTATCTTTATTAACAGTGAAGAACTTGGTAAACTTAACAAAACATTTTAACATAAATAAAATATAACAATTTTAACATTCAAGCAGCATAGAAAAAGCTGCAAATGAGTAACCGGCAAGAACATGCCTAATTGCTGGGTAGTTAGTCACGAACCGACGGAGAGAGAGAGAGAGTGAGCTGTGGAGAGGCGGTCAAGTTATATCAGAATGCATCCTGTGCGCGTTTCACCGATTTCGTACTTCACGCATATACTCCGAGGAAATCTGCATTCACGTGTGAAGTTTACGTCATACAACAATTATCGGCTGCAAGTGACGTAATCCAACGTCAGAGATTAGTAGATTCGGAATTTGCAAATTAGACCGCAACGCCACAGTATGTAGTTCTACATGGCAAAATACAACATTTGTGCAAAATCGGTCGAATAGTTCCTGAGAAATCGAATTTTAAATCTACTATTTCTTTAGAGAACAAAATAATTAAAACTTCTTATTAAGAATAAAATAATAAATACTTACTAAAACTTATTTTTTGCTTGGGATTATTTCGGGATAAACGAATTTTATAATTGCTTGCAAAAATTTCTCAATTCACTTAAAAAGTTCTCGAGTTATGGCGAAAAGCGCAAAAAGTAAAATTAACATTAAAGAGTTCACTTTGGATCGCTCTCCTGACCAAACTATGGGGACCATTTTTCCCAGATTGAGGGTTCCCCCTATATTTTGGGGGTCGGGCAGAAATCGAAGAATCGAATTCATTCATAGAAAGTACGTTTTTGTGTCTGGTTTATTACTTAAAATATCGTCTGCACTAATTAATTAGCATATTTAAGGTCAACCCCTCGAACAACTGAGTCCTAAAACGTGAAGATCCGATCATTTGATCAAAAGTTTTTCAGGGTGGTTCGTTTTTTTTAGCTTACTGTGCGTCTTATCTAATTGCTGTTTTAACAGATTTAAGAGGGTATATAATTTTTTGTTCACCCTGCAACAAATTAAAGCGGACTACTTGCAGTAGTCAGGAATAATATGATTTAATATGCATACATACGTGCACACAAGTTATTTTAATGTAATGTAAAATATTACCTACTATAAAGTCATATTCAGGCAGAATAGAATCTGGTGTTTTGGTGTTGGATGGAGAATTCTTCTGAGTGGCCAATGAGAGAAGTAATAACCTTAAAAGAGGAGATTGGGCAACTGGTGTGGGGTATGACTTTTCCCTTGCTATGTCAATCATTTAGTGACTGCAAAAAATGAAACCATTTACTATTTAGTCTCTGATTTTGTACTTCGACTATTTAAGGAAAAATGCAGTCTTTGTTTAGAAATTTTGTTGCTCATTAACGTGCTTCTAACTTGAAATATACCGAAATGGATCAGTATCATTCTATGGGCTCATTTTTTTTTCTCTTTTGGAATTATTACACTTGATTAATTAAAAATCACGCTTAGCTACATTTAGTATTATAAAATAACACATTAAAAGGTGAAGGAGTTACACGTCATTTTAATTATCTGTTGGTTTCACAGATGAAATTTTGGCATAAATTGCGAATTTTTTCTATAAGTTGTAGGTATGGAAAATTTCAAGTAATGAAAATTATAGGTTTTGGAAAAGGCTTGATTTCATTTCGGTACAAATTTGAGAGTCCAATTCATTGTAATCTGTCTCTAAATATTGTGGCCGGGATTGCCTTGGTTGGTATTCAAGAGGTCGTATGTCGAAGAGGTCGTGAGTTCGATCCCCGCTGGCCAAAGACTCCCGGAGTAGTAACTGTTGACTGGCGCACGTTAAATTTGTCTGGTAATAAAGTTCACATAACAAATCAATACCTCTGGGAGTACTGAATTGGAAAGTGATCATTCTCTGGCTCAGGTCGAAATTACGATCTATGGATGAATGAATGGATGTTGGAATGGGTCCGCCGTCTAAACCGGGTTGTGACTTGTGCGTGGCTGAAATCGCATTCTTGGACATATATAGCGTCACTGAAAAACAAGAAAAGCACCCTTTGCCTTAAATTAGCTTGGTTTCTATAAGCAGGCTTGCTAGTAATAGCACATCGCATTAGAAACAAAAACAACTCAATATTGTATTTGGTCACCATTTTTCGTTTAAAACAGCTCTGTGAAATTTTAATAGTATCATATTAATAAGAATTGCACTGTCATTCAAGCAAGAATAGCCTATCAAATGTGTCTCAAGAATGGCAACGCCATTTTTCAAGCCTGATCCTCTTTAGATTCCATCTAGTCCATGCAAAGAAGAATCAGAGCAGTATTAAAAGAAAAATGGTGGCCAAATACCATATTGAGTGATTGATTATAATAAAGTGGTCTCTCAAAATTGCCTTTTCCACCAGATTTTTACTTATGAAATTTTATATACATTTGCGTACTTTTTCGCTCTTAAAATACGGTTTTTAAGAATATAACTACAGTATCTGTATTGGTATATTAGGAACCTAATACTATATTAGCAACAGAACTTGTTGACGAAACTAATTAATTAAGAATCAATTAACTGAATAATACCAACATTTCTCTAGTATAATATATAAAAACCAAAGAAAAGTTAAGAAAGGGAAGAAAGAAAACTTCGAATTATTATTAAACACGTTTAAACCAAAGTATTGATTTAAACATGATTAGAATTTAAGCTACTTCATTTAACATAAGTAGCATAAAATTTGGATATTTTGTAAATTTGCAAACATAAAACAATAATTGAAAAGCATCAATAATAAAGTATTCGAAATATTTGTAAAGTTAAGATATATTTTAATTAAGATATTAATTCCTATCCTGGATTCCTATCTTAGCTTAAATATTTTTTAAGTTAAGATAGGAATACAGAATATTATAAAAATGTAGTCTCATAAAGATGAAAAATATACAGATTATTTTTTGTTAAATAATACTACTTTTTCTTCGTTGATAATTTCTCATAATATGAGGATTAAAAATCCTAATGCAACATAGCATGCATATTTATTCAGAAAAAAGTACTTTTTTGTGTCTGTTTCCATGAATTAATAATAAACACTAATTAATTAGCATATTTGATGTCATAATATCAATTATGACACTTATTACGATAAAAATTGACAAATAGAGCCACAATGTAGCGAATTTCCGGATCAGTAACGGTAAGAAGTCGTACTTTAATTCAGTTCTAACAGTTCAATTCAGTTTTAAACGTAAACTTTTATGGGACAAAAAATCTGAAATGCAGCAATTTTTATAGTAATATTTATTGTAAAATTGCTGAATAACTGTCGTTAAATAATTATTACTATTAAATATACGGTACAAAATTTTTCAGTAAAACAGGATTTTACTGTAAAACGTATTTCACGGTAAAATTAATTTAACGGATGATGCGTCAAGGTTGCATTTTCTTTTTACCGTAATTTGATTCTGGATTTTTCACAGTGTATAGTTATTATTTTCTTAACTAACTATACACTATCTTTTTCCAGTGTTCTATTTCTTCTGTAGTCATGTGCTGGGTATTTATCTAAAACGGAGCTATTGAATTCTCTGTAATAGTTTTGATTTAAATTTATCCGCTTTGGGTTAATTGACCTTATTTTTTCAGGAACGAGTTTAAATTGTTTGAAATGGTCTTTAGCTTTAGAATGCTCCTCTGAAAAGGGTCTATTAAGAAAAACCCCTTCCCCTATGAAGAATAATTTTCATAATGAACAGCCGTCAGAGTAGCGGTTGTCCGTACTGAACATCTTGTTTTATCACTGCAGAAGAAAACTAAATTACCCTCTAAAGTCATAAAAAGATTTACAGACTATAAAAAAAATATTAACAAAAACAAAATTGAGAATAATGGAGTTATATTCGTAGTGTCTCGATTTATTTCAGTTTGGTTTATTTCTATATTTAAATGGTATTTTAAAAAAGCAAATAGAATTGAATAAATATTTACCTTTTACTAATGGATAGATTATTTTGGCATAGGAAAAGATAAAGTTCTTTTTTCAAAAGATTTTTTTAAAGATAAAGATATTGTTCTTTTTTGCAATCTTTATGAGCGTTTCATATGCAAAACAAATTACACAACACATCACATACCTATTATACCGCTTTCCAAAAGATAGAGTGATGAAATTAAAAAAGGAAGTTCAACATAACATCTTCAGATATTTGCCAATATATCTAGAATTTTTTTATCTTATAGGGGAAATTCGACTATCACGGTTAGAAATGTACCTGATTCAACAATAACGACGCATTTTGACGTGATATTTTTTTCGGAAAACGGATTTAAAAATAATTCATCTAATATGGAATCCACGAATATATTGTTAATGTACTGTTGATAAAAGAAATGCGTCAAATTAAGTAAATTTTGATGAAATACTCGAATTTTCAAGCAGTAAGATGCAATTTAAATTACTTTTCTTCTGCATATTTAATTTGCTAATTTATCAGATTGAGAAAGTTATGAAATCAAGAACGAAAAACGTACTTGATCAGATTAAATACACTTTATGAGGGCAGCAGCATCCAGCAAAAGTTTACACGTTTTAGTACAAAAAATATAGCATCAAGAAAAAAAGAACTTAGATGATCTGTGTAAAACTCTTCTTCCCCTATTCTCACAGAAAGTGGCAAAAATTGCATGATCACGCACGTCAGGTTTTGATAAGAGGTAAAATAGGGGGACTTATATTATGGTGCTTGTCAGATAAAGTATAGTTCAATGTAATTTTTTATGCGAATTTAAAAGAGATCAATCATGATTAATAACTTAGAATTTATGAGTATTTTTATGAATAAAAACTACAATTTTGTATTTGCACCAATTTACGCAAGTAAAACTGTAGTCCAAACAAATGAAGTATTTTTTAATGTAAAATCGTATGAGACCTAATACAAGCAGATAAGAAGAATACTGCACGCAAGGCTGAGCAACTTTTCACCATTTACTGTGAAGAGGGTATTTAACATTTTACTTGAAAATAGAATTTTTAAGTCCTTTTTAAACCCTGTTTTTGTTACACTAAAGAATACATGTTCACATTTTGCATCATTTCATTAATTCTCTATTGATTGCATGAATAAAAACTGACTTTGCTCATAAAAGTGAATAATTTTTGGGCCAAACATTTTCTAACAGAAAAACGGTTAGAATAATTTTCACTGTCATTTGAAAATTATAAATTTTTATTCTTGGTTTTTTCATCATATACGGTAATCTTTTTCAAGTATTGGGAGAAACTTAATTTCAGGGAGGACTTTTTGATGGAACTAACCAGCATTTGCGTTGCATGGAGAGGAAAACCAAGAAAACTTTCCGCTGTTTGCCTAACAGCAAGGGAACTCTAACCCATGATCCGCCTATCACTGAGGATATTTTGCGTCAGCACTGCGGTCGGTGCAAGCCGGGTGCGGAATTCATATCGACCAGTCATCGCTGGGATTCGTACCCAGTTCACCTGCATGATTGGAAGGTGAACACTTTATTTCATGAGCCATCACGGCTGCAACGGCATGATTGTTGTAATGTTGTCAGCATTGTGCACAAGCTGCCTTTACATCCCAGATTAGCAGGTAGTAGAGAGTGGGGTCAATTGTAACAGAGTACGATTGTAACAGAGCAAAAATTTCGAGTGTCGGGTTTTAGATTTGGTTCCTAGGTGGCGCACAAGGCGTATTTAATAAATCTACATGTACAGTCCGCAAAAAAAAAAAGATATCACCCTAAATAACTTTCGTTCTAATGATCGGATTTTCACGAACTAAAAGTCAATCTTAAGGGTTCCTGGGGGTGACCTCAAATATGCTAATTAATTAGTGCTAACTATTAATTAAGTTACGAAATCAGACACAAAAACGTACTATCTCTGAATAAACATACCTTTTTTCTTACATATTTGGATTTTTCATCTTCAAAATATAGGGGGTAGCCGCCATCTGGGAAATGTGGTCCCCATAGTTTGGTCAGGAGAGCGATCCAAAGTTCGGGCCCTTAATGTTAATTTCGCTTTTCGCGTTTTCAGTCATATTTTAAAAACTATTGAAGCAATTCGAAAAAAAATTGCACCCACTCATAAAACTCATTTACCCAAAGATAATTTCATGAGAAAAATAATTTTTAATAATTATTTCTTATTTCTTATTATTTAATTAAAGTGAGGATGAAAAAAAGTTGAATTATAAGGTATGAATTTTTTTATACCATATTAATCTACATATTTTTCAATTGAAAAATCTAAAGTTTCAACTGTTTTTATTTATTAGAAGCTGAGAAAAATTAAAATTAATTATTTTTAAAAAAATAATTTGGCGACAATGAAGAAATGATTAAATGGAGCGATTAATATTAAAATGTGATAAACTTGCGAGGAACTTGACTTCGCGCGCTTAGCATAAAATTTCATTCATATTTTTTTCGCTAATAATCGTTTGCTAATCTTTTTATTTTTATTTTTTTAAAACTATAAAATACGATGTTTCTTTTTTAATAGTCTAAAATTCTATTTGCAATTTAGTAAAGAAATTTGAATAAAACATCTTATTGAATAAAAAACATTTTATTCAACGAATGTCGAGTTTTATAAAAGCATGCTTCTGATAGAATATGATTATACACCAGATTGTGCTTATTTAATGTGATTATTTTTTAGTTTTTAGTTTTTTCTTCTCAATAACTGATACAATTTCAATAGTATACATACGTATGAATAGATTTGGAATAAAATATTTATCAATTTCTTGAATACATTTTTTATAAATATTAGTAAAAATACGTAGTAAACATATTTAAGCATACCTCACATCATCGCAAATTTCTCAACATCTTATATATCGTCTTAATGTTAGAAGTAATTTTTTAATCACCTGTCCGGAAGTGTATCGCAGAACTATTTTACCAACTACTTAATTAAATTTTAACATTTTTAAAAATCTTATTCTTTACCCTACTACGTTTATTATTTCTTCATTAATATACTAATCAATTTTTTAGTACTTTAATTTAGGTTTTTTTTAAAGTGAAGTTCCTTTTTAAATTATAGTCAAGTTTTTTTTAAAAGAATTATTGTCTGCTAGCTAAGAAAAAAACCTTGTAAGGAAATTAAAAACATTCCGCTATTTAAAATTGTTTAATGCAAAGCAGCTGATTATTTACTAAGCATACTATTTTTTTTTTTTTTTGAAAAAAGAGTATAAATTATTGATTGTCTTTTTTTTTTCTCGTGACTTCGAAACAGATTATCCAAAATAGTGTTGATGTTTTATAAATCACTACAAAGAGTATAAAGATACAGAACATTAAAAGCTGTTGAATACGTAGCCAAATTTTTAAGCGTCTTAAAATAGCTCAGTATCGTAAATGTCGTCCTAACATCGTAGTTGCGAAATTAAATTTTTAATTATCTGACCACGTGTGATTCACTTATTATTTCACTATATCTTTTACTCTTTCTTTATGATACCAAGCAGATTTTTTTCCTGATAATATACTAAACTATTTTGTTTAATTTTTTACTTTAACACGATTCCAAGATATTATTGTAATATAATTTGTTATCAAGAAAATGCCTTATTTTGTTAAGCAGGAAATACTAAAAATTGAAATTTGTAAGAAGATTCCGAAGCCGTGCCAATTTTGGAGTCATCTGATTTTAAAAAAATGCTATAAGAAATACGCAATTTCCGAACTTATTTTAATGAAAAAATATAAAAGAACGTGGCAAGAAGGCTAAGATACTTTTTACAAAAACTGTGAAAACTAATTTTTCCCATATTTCGTCAAAAGAGGATAAGAATGATATTGCTCCAAGGGACCTACTCAATAATTTCGCTATTTCCAGAATGAAATCCGTTTGATCGAAACATATTATTCCTTGAAAATTAAAACGAGGAAAAAATTAGCTTTTATTATTTATCGAAGCTTATTCCATTTTTTTAATGATAGCGGTATTAAGGTTAAGAATATGCGATCGAAGCCCCGTTTACTATTATATTATAAATGCATTAAATCATGTAGCTTGAATAATTTATTTTAAGCAAATTATTTAATAATTTTAAGCAAATAAGGGTGTAAAAATAAACTCGATCAAAATACTCCGAAAGTATACCCTAAAATATATGTAGAATAAACTTTGGCATCGATATATATAAAATANATAACATATGTAAAACTTATTTTAATATCGTGGGAAATAATTTAATATGTTGTGTAACTAAATGGATAATCCCAAGAAACTGAATCGAAAGTATAAAAATTTCATTGATTTAAAAAAATAATAGATGATAATAAAAGTAGACATGTTTTGAGCGTACAATAATGAAAGTCACAAGTTATTCAAGTCTGACAAGTCTTGAGAATGGGCGATTGTATTTGAACGCTCGAAGCATGTCGACTTTTACTTATTCCCTCTTCATATGTTTCGAAGTCAGTTGAGTTTTTATCGTCAATTATACTGTTTCACATTTGGGTCTTGATCATTATTTTGATAAGGATTTTACACTCGTTAAAGTAAACATATGTATTTGAATATTTTAACAGGATTCATGTGGTCTTTAAAAACGTAAGAGCATCAATATTGTAAAAGTTATATTTAACTTAACAATGGAGATTTTGACACCAGATATTTTGAGTTAATGAAATTAAATATTTTATCTTTTAAGTTTTTGTGCCCCCATTTCAGTATCTTAAGGATCTTACGAGCTCTGTTTAAAAAGAGA